CTCACTCACTCACAGATAAAACGGATTCAGACCAGTATTATAAGGAATTACAGAATTTAGTGACCGTTCGCTCAGAATATTGCATTCAATACATTCATGCACTCGAGTGCGACAACTATTACATTGTTATGGAGTTGTGTTCAGACAGTCTTCAGACAATTCTCGATAAAAAACACAAAACCTTCGGTCGAGAATTGGGTCAACCCATGAGTTCAGTCGAGGCATTCATTTCGTGCCAAATATTCAAAGAACTCTTAGAATGCGTTCAGTATTTGCATGGATTGAAGCCACCGGTCACTCACGGGGATTTATATCCTGATAATATTCTGATGACCCGTAAGGCAGGGAAAGGTAGATATTTTAAGTTGTGCGACTTCGGTGTGTCTACAGTACGCCCGCACGCGTCCGATAAGGGTAACCCCAGCTACCAGGCCCCTGAAATTTACCATGGACGCCTATATGACCATAAAGTGGACCTGTACAGTTTGTACAGAATTGGCGAAAAGTTATTTGACGTCAATTTGGATTACCCTTGGTGAGTTTCATTCAGTCTTTTTAACCTAGATAAGTTAAGTAAACTTTATTAACTCGTTTATATTATATCTGGGTTGCGAAACGGAATATGAAATAAAAAAATTTATTTACGGTATTAATATACCCTGAATACAACATTGAATATAAAAAATGTTTTTTAAATCATTAGTCCGTTTTGTGGCCCAAAAAATTTTATTTAAAAATTTGTAATCTTTAAAACATCCAAAACATAGCTCGCAATCGTATTCATCGCACAATGAAATAGTCAACAAATGTATGGATAATGTGAAGCAAGTGTTGCATACGATGTCGTACTACAACTGGGAATACCCTAATCAACCCAAACCCGGTACCCATGACTGGACAGACAGACCCTCGTGTTGGCAAGTGTTAGACAAATACAAAGAGTGGACACTTTGTAACCAATGTCTGCAATCGGATCCTAACGTCGAGTCAACAGTGAATGCAATCAAACAAAATAGTTATCACTTTTTCGGTGATTATTTTGTCACGAAATACAGAATTAATATATTATTTGAGGCGCCTTTAGGTGAGTGTATGTGTTGTACGCCATACGAAGATGATCCGGATGACCCTATGTATGAAACTTATCAGGCTAACAAAAACCAAACAATGGCCTCCGGGTCCGAAAGTGACCCTCAACTCGAATCCATTGAATCGATTCAATTGTTTCACGTTTTCCAAGACCCGAAAGGATATAACATATTAGTGGTGACCGACAAAGGCCTCGTCTACGGCTTGGGATCCAATTCCCGGGGATGTCTCGGTTTGGGACACAAACGGGTCGTCAATACCGCGACTATTATACCGAAATTGTGTGACAAAAATATCGTACAATTCTGTACGGGACACGACATTTGTGTGGCTATAAGCTCCAGTGGGCGGGTGTATGAGTGGAAGAAATGGATGTCTTATAAACCCATCGAAGTGTCCGGTTTTGAAGACCAACAGGTCTGTGAAATATCGTGCGGTTATGATCACTCGTTGGCCCTCACGGGCACCGGTAGTGTCTATGAGTGGGGCGATCATATTTACAGATGCAACAATTTCGATGGTTATATTTTTGCTGAAATCCTCAGCCCACAACGATTGCATTTTTATGCGAATAAATCTAATGTTGACAATGAATATCACATAAAAAGTGTGTTTTGCGGACATTTCTCGTCGTTTGCCATCACTGATGAGGGACTGGTGTTTAGTTGGGGTCGAAATGAATGCTATCAATTGGGGCATAAGGTATTATGGGATAAGAATATATGGCACGCGGTTTATCAAGAGGGAGTGGTATCTGAACCGCAATTGGTAGCTCATGTGACTCGCATTAAATCTATAGCCACCGGGAGTCGGGCCACGTATTGGCTGAGAAACGACGGGTTTGTGTATTTTTGCGGTCAATATAACGATCAAAGCGGCGCTAAAATCATACAAAACGAGCCGATATTGTTGGACAACATCGCCGACTGTCAGGAACTACGGATGATTTGGGCAAACGATAAGCACAAGGCTATTGCCCTAATAAACGACAGGGTTGTGGAGATTGACGGCATGAATGGTGTGAAACAAACGCATTACAAGAATTTGTTTGATTATTGTCTGGACGTGTATCGGGTGACTCCCGAGACCATGAGTGTAGTGGACAACAATTATTACGAGTTTTTGAGTGAAATGTTCAAGATGATTCAATTAGGAATCATTTGTAAGCATAATAACCGGATTCGCCCAAAAGTCCCAAAAATGGAAAAATTTAAACTTAAATAACTTTTGTAACATGATCGATTGATGATAAATGGAAATTTGATTTAAATTGGGTTAGGTTTGGTTAAGGATCATGTATTCTACTAATTAAATTCAAAATATACCCACTGTCAGTTAATTATTTGAGTTTAGGTTTTTCGGTTTAAAGTATTTTTGGGCGGGGTAAACCCATAATAACTGTATAATTGAACAAAGCGTACTGTATATGTGTATATTAATTATATAATATTTGACTGTAGTCATTCCAGGCCAATTACATTCCGGTCGGACCCCGATTTCTCAATACGAGAACTTGAGTGAATTAGGTACGGGATCATTCGGAACCGTATATAAAATGAGAAATAAAGGCAACGGCAGAATATATGCTATTAAAAAGATTGCCACAACAGGACGAGGTATACATTGATAAAACATAATATTTTAATTGGATTAATGGAAATTTAATTGCTGTCTCGCTTTTTCACATATAGACAAAACGGACCTAGCTCAGATTTTCAAGGAATTAGAGAACTTAATGCGGGTGCGCTCGCAATATTGTGTTCGTTACGTGCATTCATTTTATGATTTGGATTACTATTACATTGTAATGGAGTTGTGTTCAGACAGTCTTCAGACAATTCTCGATAAAAAACACAAAGCCTTCGGTCGAGAATTGGGTCAACCCATGGGTATAGTAGAGGCTTACATCTCGTGCCATATATTCAAAGAGATCCTAAAATGTGTGCAATATTTGCACGGATTGACACCACCGGTCACTCACGGGGATTTATACCCTGCTAATATCCTAATAAGTCCAGGAGTTGGTTACACTTGCTATTACAGTCGTTGCAACGGCAGTCATTTTAAAATATGTGACTTCGGGTTGACTACTATTCGCCAACACAAGTCCAGTAGATTGGGTAATGACAACTACCAGGCCCCAGAGGTTGGCCGTGGTGAGTTTCATAATCATAAAGCGGACCTGTTTAGTATCTACAAAATTGGTGAACAGTTATTTGATGTGGACTTATCATGTTTGAAAACGGATGCGTAAGTTTTACTAGTAATCTTTTTATGATTAAAATTCTTTTTAAATTCAACAATAGTTGTGCCAGTTTATTTCAAGATAATTTATTCATATAGAATCTAATATAATGTATCATTTAATATTTAAATATAAAATTAAATATGACACTGATGCAATACTTGTAGTGACATCATTTCAATTCCATTGTTTATACAGTTTTAGAACTTAAGTTATGAGTGAATGTCATTCTAATGTTTTAATTATATTAACATTTTTCAAAATATAGTTCACTATCGTATTCATCGGATAACGAATTGGTGAACAAATGTATGGTAAATGTAATGAAAGTATTGCAATCCATGTCGTACTACAACTGGGACCACCCGAAAAACCCCGATACCCTTCACTGGAAAGACAGACGTGAATGCAGTGAAGTGTTGGAGACTTACAAAGAGTGGACACTTTGCAACCAATGTCTGCTATCGGGTCCATATGTCTTCGATGCAATAAGTTATGGCATTGATGATTCTACCAGGGAACATTATTATGAATTTTTCTATCATTATCTAATGCATATAATTCACAAGACTGACGACCAGGAAACGGATAAAGTTAGCTGTATTCCGCACGATGATCTAGGTGACCCTTTTCAGTGTAAATACGAACCAGACAAACAGCATTATCATTCTAAAACTCACCAATGCCCACATTGCCGTCAAAGTTATTGTCCTGAATCAAAGGAAGCCGATTTTGGCGTTAGATTCATGTATCTCTTGGAGTTATTATTAAGACATAGAACATTAGGGGTCAGATGGAAAACTAATACCGTATAACAAACTGTATTTTGTTTTATCGGTATATCATATTGATACATTATTAATTTCACATAATATTTAACATTGAAAATAAATTTTAACAAATTGTTGCGTTTATTAGATTAAGGCTTATATACAGTACAATACATAACATAATCATAACTTCTTATTAATGTTTGGCATAAATATCTTCAACCTCTTCGGCGGTGATGCGATGACTGTGGCAACTGTTCACTCGAGTTAGCCATAAATCTCTGATACTTTATGTGAATATCAATATCAGACACACTTTTATCACGCAATTGATCCGTGAGTCGACGAAACCAATTATTAAACGCCACAATCGACTCCTTTAGTCGTTTCGGACCACCGATTATCTCATCCGCGGTGTCCGTCAGCTCTCGTTTAAGACTTTCCATACCATCGATGACTACCTGTTGCCGAGATTTCTCTATGTCTTCAGATCTATGACTTACAGTGGGATCTAATAGGAAACGATATGTCATTAAGTGATAAACTATTGGATTATCACTAATAAGAGCTGTTTTACGGCAACTGCTGGACACAGACGTTGTCTTTGGATTAAACATCTCTTGCAGTGAATCCTCGGACTCCGTGTCCGTCAGTGTTATCTCGTATCCGATGTCGTACTCGGACTCCGACTCATCCTAATAATGGGTGACAATACATACCATTAGATAATAACACAATAATAGCCACCAAATACTCGCCTCAAGACTATCACTGGTATAACTGCTCCGGGAATCCGATTCCTCATCATTGGTCGCAACTGTGTTATCGCCTAAAGATGGCTCGCATTGGGATTTATTGGATGTCGAAGAAGTGGTTGACGTAAAGCCTAAGACATGAAAACAAACCGCCAATTAAATCATCAAATCAATGACAGCTCTCTCTCTCTCTCTCTGCCTCTCAGTACTTGTGTTGATATTATCCCTCAATCTCTTTCGTTTGCATCGGATCTGTTCCGTATTCCTCTTGAATCCCATTGTCTCGAGTCTGGACTCAATGTACTGATGAAGCGCTCGTTGGCTGCCATACGAAGACACGGCCCTCGACTGCGACCACACCATCAGCGCCGACGTCTCGGCGAACGACCACTTCGTGACCTCAGACACAGTCTTCGGCCGCTTCTTAGCCGTCATCGATGTCCCGGTCGTCGGCGTTGCGGTCGTTGTCGTCGACACACGTCTTGAGACACACGAACGGCTCGCGCGCTGACCGCCGGCTGTCTTGTCGACCACCGACCCCTTGCCTGCAGTCATGGCTTTCTTGACTTTAGCGGCCATTCATGTGTCCATCGACTGATCCATTCGGTGATGAGATCTGCGGTGAAGAGTGTCTTTGAAAACGTGTTTTTGTTTTGATTTTCTTTTGATTTGTTTTTGTTTTTCAAAACCCATTCAAACACTGAGTGCGCGAACGATGTCTTCATAAATAACGTTACGATTTAAGTGGCGAACAGATTGTGACACAAGTTCTGTGAGATTATCACTCATTTGGTCCGTGGTTTCAGTGGTTGTATCGACTGTGGACTGTCAGTGGTATCGATGCGAGTGATCATGGATTTTAGTTTTTTAATGTTTTTATAAGATTAAGTGATTTTAAGTCTCTCTCTCTCTCGACGAACTTCATAAACAATTGGATCAAATAGAGTGATAATAATAAATGGTCATTAAATTTGTGGCCAGGGATCTAATGGCACACACCTGACGCTCACCATTGCTATAAATTGAGTGACCATTTGATAGCATTTTATAAATTTAATACTTTTAAAAAAACATTAAATTGCATTTTCAACACCAATTAAACACTGATTTATAGCAATTAATGTATATTTTCATGCAATATTTATGCATTAATTGAATATTTATTTTGCAAAATTATGCTAATTATTAGATATAAGTAATATTCGGATTAAGTTATAAAAATCAATTAATTTTCAATTACTTTATCATAAATTATCTGTAAATCTAATATCAAATAATATTTCACGAATACGGTATAAAACTGTGTATTAAATACACCAAAAGTAAACTACAGTTAAGGTTAACGTAAAGGAAAACAATTGAAACACAAAAAACACAAATCGAAAGACAATTTAAATGTGAATTTAATTCTCATAAATAAAACATAAAATGTATTTCAAAACATTATTAGAAAAAACAAAAATACATAAACATTGTTAAGACATAAGCGGAAAGGTATGAATTGATTTACAGGTAAAAAACGGACAAAAATATATCGTAATTATCGTTACAATCAAAACCTAATCGTTAATTGAATTTACAGTTCGTGAAGTCCATCTCCGGGTGCTCCGCCATAAACCTAATGGAAAGGCATTCAAACAATCAGTTAATTGTCAGAAATTATAACAAAAATGGATTAAAAGTATTCAAATGACTGTCCATTAACTGCAATCAGACAAGTAGTCAAGCAATACGTACTTCTTAATGACGTCCTGTTTTTTCTGGTCCTCACTGGTAGGCAAACCTGGAAAGGCATCCAAACATTAGACTTCACCCAAACTGAATACACTGGTCATACATACCCAGTTCCTTTTGTCTTTGATCGTACATCATCTGCAAAACAAACATTACTTTCCCTTCTAATCAAACACACGGGTAGTGTTGACCACAACTACTAGCCCTCACTCGCACCCACCTTCTCGACCATAGAGCGGGTCTCGCCGTCCAAGTCGGACAACTTGGAGGCCTCGGGATTCACTTTACGGGTGTTCATCTCGGGGTCGGTCACCTGTAGCCGCGGCCACCACTCCATCTGATGGCACTTCTCCAGAGTGATGGCCACTGTATTCATGTCCTGCAGAACCCAACAGCAGTCGTCCACTTTGATCTCGTTATGGAGTTCCCCGTCGATGACCGGGGGTTGACCTTTGACACCGACCTTCAGGTGCTTCTTCTTATACTCGACGA